ATTAAATTGAAGCAGAACCCTGATAAATGAACCATTAAAAACTAGAATAAATATTTTGTTGCTTAAAATGACTTCTAAAATTTACTAAATGTAGATATCAAATCATTGTGATAGTGTAGCTATAGGCCAGCTACTATTTATTAGGTAATTGACCTCTTTATTTTAGAACTGCTTAGGAAATAAGGGGTAAGAATTCAGACAATTGAACTGAATCCTAAATTATGCTATCCAGACACTCTATGTTTCCATTACACAATTCTAATTTTACTGAACCCACTGTTTTTTATAAATATATGGAAACCCATTTAATTTTGACAGTTTTACTCTGATATACAAAATGAAAAATGCCACATCTGTTTTTGAGTGTGTGTGGTGCGCTTTGATGTCTGGTGATGAAGCGATGAGGGAACTGTGGATATGCACCTTGTTTCACACTATTCTGTTTGATGGCAATTGTACAGGCAAAGCATGGGACTCATCTGTGTGTGGTGAACTTCCTGCTGTGTGCAATGCACCGCTGAACTTCTTGGTTTTCTTATTTGAGTCAGAGCATCCTGCATCTGTAGACTTAAGCAACTGTCCTTCAAAAGTATTTGGGAGATTTTGTACTGTACCCAGCCTGCACAGGCTTCTTTTCTTGTTGTTATTTTCTGAAAAGGGCAGTATGCCCTCAATTTGCACAGCATTTCCATTATATTAAGTTTATAAGCAAGCAAGATATGATTTAAAAACTCAAAGTTGAAGGCAAATAATGGACCATTTAATATGAAGGCTTGGGCTTGGTATTTACAGGAGTCCTAGGGCCAAATCCCCTCTGGATGCCAAGTGTTGACACTATTTCCTCGAAAATTTTTATGTCTGCTGTCAATCCTTATTCCAGAAGGAAGCTATAGTGGATACCTAACTGACATTATTTGGCCTTACAAAATGTACTTGTGGGCTTTTGTATCCATTTGAAAGCTTGTGTGGGTTTGTAGAGAACTGTAGATTACTTGAAGAGCCCTGTTTGTAAATTCCCAGGTGACTCCAAGGGAAGTGTTGTTCTGCCTCTGGACTCTCCTACTGTGAGCCAGTGTCCCTTCTGAAGGCAAGGTTTTGCCTCATTTGTTTCTTTGTAGGTTTTGGTTATGATTCTGAAGTAGGCTAACTAGGAATAGGGAAAAGAGAGGCAAACTACATGGTGACTGGAAGCGGCAACCACAGCTGAGTGTGTTGCAATTGCATAAACCAAGACTCTCCAGACTGGGACCAACACAATTGGCCAAGACCCCCCACCTCCAACTGTTCTATCTCTTTTCAGTATGGTACCTTATTGCTAGTCTTCCAGAACAGGATGTTCCCATCATGCATCTGATGCAATGGCACAACTCGAGCTCCATTTAAGGAGAGAAAAGTGTATTAAACCTTATTCCAGGAAAACCCCACCTCTTTCCTGGAATTCCTCACCTTATTTTATGAATAACCCTCCTTTCTATAAATGTTTATCTATAAGGCCAAATGGTCCAAAATACCTGGTGCTGCTACATTCTCCTAAGAAGTCTTCACTTTCTCTTAGGGGCTTACTTTTGCTCTGTAAGGGGATTTTCTCCCTATATTAATTCCTCCCCCCTCCCCCGTGAATTACTTCTATGATCAGGAAGTGGGAAGCACTAGACAGAGGCACCACTTTGGTCTCTGAGACCTTCCTAGTCATCACTGGCTACAGAAACTTTGCTCTTTAAAAATGTCCTTGTGTACAGTGATAAAATGCTGTCTAGAACCCCAAACACAGAAAAACTGTTAAGTGCTGTATATAGAAAGTATATATGTTAGATTCTGTATAAACATAACTTCACACATGCACGATGGGCTGTGAGTTCAGTGGAAATCTATCTGTAATATGTATTAAAACAGGATATCCTTTAAGGGAAACACATGTGAAATAGGTTTATGTATTGATTTGTTGGATAACGTTTTTCAACCAGAGGCCTACAGCAACACTATGGTAGTCATGGGGACTTTGCAGAGCGTAGCATGATGAACGATGAGAGCCACTGTACTCATTTCTTTTTATTTTTTTATTCCCATGGTGAAAGTCGCATTCTGGTCTCAATTCAAAGCTGATGGAGCTGTTTATATTTATACATATATATGCACATCTCTGTGTGTATTTGAGCTGTGGATCTATCTACAATACTGATTTTGCTTTGGAGAAAATTGTGTGTGTGTGTGTGTGTGTGTGTGTGTGTGTGCATGCGTGTATGTGTGTTTGTATGAATAAAGCAGTTTCCCCCATTTTAAAATCCAAAGTCTTCCTAGGTGATGGTTATCTATGATATTTCTATGAAGTCATGTTTGTATTTCACATCTTTGATCTAGAACAGAGCCCTCTTTTATTTCTTACATTCCTTAGAACAGAACTTTCTGAGAATGCTACTTAAGGTTTGCTCATCTAAGGTGTTGTGGAAGTGATAGGAGGACGGTCCTGAGAAAAGAGAAATTAATCATGTCCTTGGGGCTACAATTATTTTCGTTTCTGTTTTTGTTATAGTTATTTACGATTCACCCAATAGCCTCAGCTATTCTCGAAGATGCTACATTCATCTCTCTGGCAGTTCTAGCTATTCGGCTACTCAGTCACATTTGTTGCTTCAAGCAGGTAGATGTTAGTGAGCTGCTCTCGTTTCTTCATGGTCTGTACTTTCCTTTTGTAACAGAATGACAGAGTCCCTGAGATTAGATGGGGCACTACAACCTCCAGACATCCAATTGAATATGCTCAGCTACCTAGGCACAGTCTCTTCAACCCACATATGCTTCTCTAGAACCTCATCTGTCACTGAACTACCTATTTTTCTATTTCACGTTCTTATTCTTGGAGGGTTATCTGCCAATGGAATTAAGCCCCTGTTCTGCCACAGGTGGGTGTTTGGGTTGACCTTTCAAATGGAACTGCTTTTGTCAGAACTTTCAGTACAGAGAAGAAAGCATAATGCCATGTTCTCAGTGAAAGACAGTGTCACCGTGTGTCTCCAAGTGAACGAGGGCAAGGTGAAGCCTTTGAAAGGAATCCACCCAGTCAGCAACCTCTTCAGCACTGGGAACAGACCAAACTGTCAGCCTCAAGTAGTTCCTGTGATATTAGCTCTCTTTATAGAAAATAGAAACCAGAGGGAATAAAAACGATGAAGACTCTGTGGGCTAATAAGGAGAAAGGACTCTTGAATGGTTTAGCAATTTTTTCACACTTTTAAAACCCAAGTGCCCACCCATAAATGGGGGGAATTTTGTTATTTCAGTATTATTACTGCAAACCAAGCTTTGTCTGTTGATCTAGCATCAGAATTAACTCAAATAATCAATTTCTATCCTGATAAACAGAAAATTTCATAAGCTAAGTGACATCCAAGGGTGTTGAACTAATTCATATCTTTTCTTGGGTAAACAATTGATTTACTTTGTATTGGTTCACTTGTCTTGCATAGATGACCCCAGCCCATTCAGCTCTTTCATTTTATGATTCTGTGATTCTTTTTTTTTTCCCTCTAGGAACAATGAGCACTATATTTTCCTTACTGAAAGTCATCTTTAAATTACAGCCTTAACTGTGGGATGAGACTGAGTTTTAATCTCTCTCATTCAAATCTCTGTTCTGAATTACAGAATGTAAATGTTTTAAAGCATAAATTCTCGTATCGATTTCCTTCCTGTATTTTTCCTTCTGCTATTAGCTTTCCTCTCAATAGATGGTGCTCTTTTCTCAGAGACATGTTTCTTACCCAAAGATCAGAGAAATCAGTTTTACTTTAAACAATCATTAATTAAAGAAATCAGACAAGCAATTTGCAGTACCTCGGGAACAGGAGCATAATGAGGGGATGATACTTCAATGACTTGAGCGCTCTGTTTAAGCCTGTGACATGTGTGTTGAAGAAGTGAAGCAAATGCTGTAACTAAACATGAAAAAGCCATGCTCATGATGCCACATAGGAAGGACTCACATCAGGAGCCATTTTAAAGTACTGGGATATTCATCTACTTTAGCAAAAGTGGATAGATAAGTATTCCACATTCACAGGCAGGATTCGTGCATGTAACTCAATGCCAACACACCCAACATCACTCTCAGTGCCGAGACCTTGCTCAGTCTTTGCCAAATCCATCTAGAACACCCCGAACAACAGAAAGCAGACCTCAAACTCTTTGAAAGTAAGATTGAGAGAGTTTCCTCTCAAGACCATCCTGAACAATTGCCAGTAGTTCATAATGTTGCTGCTTTTATTGTCACTAATTGACTCCCAGGTTTGCAAGTCCTGAAAAAATGGTTGTGCCCTGTAGATGCCCTGAGCTACCCAACAATTCCAAATGCCACTCAGGACTCCCTGAGCAGATCTGCAGGGAGAAAGTGCAAACTGGGCTAAAGATTACGACAGCATGCTTGCGATATCCAAGCCACCCTGCCCTGGAGAGCTGCAAGGAAAACTCCCTCCACCTGGGCTGGGGCAGCCTCAGGCTGGAAGAAGAGTAAGATAAGGACTCTCTGAACACCAGAGAATGGGTGGGGCTGTGGTCCAGCCTAAACCAGCAGGTCTAAGAAAGTTAGCAAGTTCCTACATCTCTTTTACCTACTGAGATACCTCTGCCTTTCACTTAGGGAAAGCTAACTAGATTGTTTTCCACAATTCACTGTTCTTGTAACTCATGCAGAGGGATGATTGATTCTAAGACATGCTTCAAAGACCCTCTTAGCTCAGAAGAAGATGGGGTTCTAAGATGAAGCACCCCCCCTCCCCCAGACAATATCTTAAAAGCTTTGCCCAAAGGAACTTCTTGGTTTTGGAATTTTGAACACTGCTTTATCAAGGGAGTGAGAAAAACCCAGAAAAGTAAAATTTCACACACAAACAGCAAGTGCTCTATTCAAGTCACCCCTTCTTGGCACCCTGTTTGCTTCTCTTCTGTCACTCACAGACTTTGTCTCCTTCCCCCCTGGTGGAGCTCAGGCTCAGGGCATTCCTTACCTGACAATCACATACATGACCAGGAAGTTTCCGAAGAGGCCCACTACGCACACGATAGAGTAGAGGGCCATGATGGTTATAGCTGTGACCATGGAAGGACTGCCAGGCGAAGAACACAGGCTGTCGCTCCCGCCAAGCCCGGTGCGGTTCAGACTACATGGATCGGACTGGTTGCCATCTACATGGGACAAATTGAGCCAGGAGGCAGGTGCTGGGGAGCAACTCCCTGGAGCCAAGGGGTCAGAACAGTCGCTGGTGTTCCCAGAGCCGACGCGGCTGTCCATGGTGCTGAAGGCCTGCTGCGGACTCGATGCGGGCAGTAACTGAGAGAACCAAGACTTTTTGGGTTTCACGATCCCCAGCCTTTTCCTCTCGCAGCTGCCTCAGCTCCGTCAGTTTCTTACACAGACCAGCCCTGGCGGAACCAGAGAAGAGCGTCAGCCAGAAGGGAACGGCTGAGCGTCTGAGATTCTCCTCTACTTGCGCCCCCCTCCCACCTCAGAAGTACAGGGAGCCCTGTCCTTAGCATCCCAAAGCACTGTTCACTGTGTGGAAGGGAGGGAGCGCGCTGTGAGGGATCCAGAGGCTGGAGAGGAGGGAGGAGAGAGAAGGGGTGGATTTTGCGCAAAGCAACTCTGAGATTCAGTCTCCCCTGTCTTCATGCGCTTCCGAGCAAAACCAGTGTAAAGTGGGGTAGGAAGGGGCAGAAACAGGGACGTCACAGAGAAGGGTAAGAAGAGAGGCAGTTAAGTTTCTTTGCAACGAGGATGCATAAGGTAGGGGATTCATATGCCTATTTTTCCAACATTTTCTTCTTTTCCTTTTCTAATCAGCCAGAAAAGTCACTGATCTGTTATAATCTCAACGGCCCCTAGACCCCAGTACTCTTCCCACTCAACTCCCTAATGCAATTATTTGGGGATGGAGACCAACTATTGCTGCTTTACTTAGATCCCCTTATCCGAAGCGAACATGTAACTCCAGTGTCTCACATTTTCAGCCCCACAAAGCTATTTAAAGCAACAATGGTCTCTTATTGATAAAGAGAAACTTGGTGAAGCAAGCCTGTTTCTTGTGCTCCTATACCCTCAATTTATTGTGGATCAGATGGCCCATTTGCAACTGAATTTCTTTCGATGAAGCAGAGACATAAGAACATGTTACAGAAATGAGGGAGGAGGGCCGGTACCCAGTAAAATCCACTCATGAGTACACTGCCTCTCCTAGCTCCACTGTCATGGATCTGCTTAGAAAGATTTATACTTTAACTTTACACTTCCTCCATAGTCACATTGCCTGCTTCCAGAGAAAAGGCTACTGAACCAAGAAGAAATTTTTACCATTTTATTCTTTCTATTGTAGAGATTTCAAAAACAGTCTTGTGGCTCCTTTGAGCAAACAAGACCCCAAAGGAATAAGGATTCACTTAAAGTTTTCAATCTTATGTCCAAGTTCACAGGTGCTTCTGAAAAAATAGAACACCTGATTAAATTGAACAGTAGTGTGTTTTCTTCTTTTCATCCCTGTGTACACATATGTTTGTGCATACGCATAGTTGTTAATTATCAACATTGAAATTTAATGGGTTTGATTGATTGTGGAAAGTTTAACTGTATTCTCATAGACTGTGGAGAGCAAGCTTAGAAGGAACATGTTATTCTAATTTTACTTTTTGACTTTCATCTTGAAAGCAGATAACTCACAACTAAACTATTAGTCATAGACTTTTGGACAATGTTCAGTATTATTTTTACACTTTTCCATTAAACGGTATAATTTCAGCAGTAATGTAGATAAGGTTTCACAGTGGATGCTCAAATACCTGTAAATACATTCTCCTAGGAATAAATGTGTAGATTCATGTGGTTGAGCTAAAATCTGTGTGGGACTCATTCACCAGTTTCCTGTGAATTCACAGAACCATCCTCACTCCCTTCATGGGAAAGATAGGTCAGCACATGGAGACTATTGCTGACTTTGCTGTCAGATGGTTTTCTAATATAGTCCTGCCTGTTATCTACAGTGGTGTTGAGTCTGAATATGTTGCTTTAACTTATTGAGTCATAATTTTCTTCTGAGAGTAAGAACCTGAACTTTATTCAATCATATGTTCTCATCTGAGATCAATATTTTCCTTCTATTTTTGATTCTCGTGCTTCACAGAGAGTAATTATCATCCTTCGATTACTACCAATGCCACATTTTATGAACACTATTTCATGTCTTCATCTATCTGTCTGTCTGACTGTCTGTTTTTCTATCTATCTGTCTATCTATCTTCCTATTTTCTGTATGTCTTATTCATTCAATATTTACTTTGAGAAAATGCAGACAAATTTTTTTAAATACAAATGTTAAATTAGCCTTGATAGGTTTATTGAAAAATTATATGGAAATAATAATTTCATACCACTAGACTATGAGAGAACCCCTAGTTCAACTTCTTTTATTAGTTTTCTCCATAATTGCTCATTTCCTTCCAGAATGAGCTGAAGGTCTTCAGGGAAGCTTAAATCTCCCATAAGCAGAGGCAGACTATACAAAAATGACTCAGCAACCTGATATCCTAAATATTTTATATTGCTGGATTGCCCATGAGATTTCCAAGAGCCATAGTATGTTGTCTGTGGGAATAGTTACCTTTCCACTGATGTTTCTTGCTGAATCTTAGTTTTCTATTTGAATCAAGAACAATTTATTACCTAGTGGTCTAGATTTAATTTAAACAATAAAACTCATATCAGTAAACACTTTTCATGAAATTGTCTGCTTCACTGAAATGCATCTTGTCACCATGTGGATAGATCCAGCAACGAGCTAAAAGTTGCTCCTCTTTCTTGGATTTCAGTGTCTATTGGCTTTAGGTATTCATATGATAGCCATCGATGCAAACTCATTTTCATAGTTGAGTCATGAGTATTTTTGAGAATGGTGACTAATAAAACACATTATTAACAGCTGTTAATGAAAGCCAGAATTATAAGTATGATATATGAACTATTTACAGTAGTTAGAAACTCAGAAAAGCAAAGGCTTCATCAGGAGAGTGTGTGATGTGTTTTGTAGCTGTACACAGCTAATAAGAAGGCAGTTGAGTCTGATACAATATTATTTTAGACTACTGGAATACTACATGATCCTTCAATAAAATGGAATAAGATTTCTTGATTTAGAGTTTACAAAATGAAAATTTAAATTAAAAATAAAAATTCTCCACCAATTTCCATGTGAGGATACCTGAAGTGGAGCCAGTAAAATCCTTGAACTTTAAATTTATAAAGTAACCCCCAAATCCAGACTCTACTGTCTATTTTCTTGAGACTTACATTCTTTATGCTTCCTGTTAATTGGTTCCTCTTGTGTAAAATAAAGAATGAGAATCAGCTACAAAGCAGTGTTCCAAGATTACATGTATTTAAAAGAGCATGCCCTTTGTCTTCAAGTTCATTGTCAAGAAGAATTCTTGGAGGTATTATATAATATTTAATGGCACAAACTTATCCTTACGAGTTTTATCTTTTTAAGAGCCAGAACGTTCTAATAACAGCTTGACTGTCAGCCTTTCAAATAATTATTATAAACAACTAGCTTAAATAATTAATTCATGCGTTTTCATGCCTTTCTTCGCATCTGGAAGCTCAGTTTTGAAAAGGACTTGGGTTTTAATTTTCAGTCTCTTATCACTTTATTCTTGACAGTAGTTAGTTACTCTTTATCAGTTTCACTTAAAAGTTATTGAGAACTCAGGAAGCTTCTGTTTTTGCAGGCGTTGTGGCTTGAATGTGAAATATACCACACCGGCTCGGGTGTTAGAACACTTGGTCCTCTGCTTTTGGTATTGTAGACCCTGTAGCAGGTGGAGCTTTGTGGAAGGAAATGCATCACTGAGGGGTTGTGGAGGGGTGCTCCCTGGGGTTTTGTAGCCCAGTTCCATTTCGCGTTTATGCACTAATGCTTTATTGTAGTTGCAATGTGAGCAACTGCTTCACTCCTGACTACCACACCTTCCCTGTATCCTCTCCCACTCTGAGTCAAAATAAACACCTTCCTTACAATTTGCATCGCACCAGGTACTTGGTTGCAGTAACACGTAAAGTACTTACGTGTAGTAGGTTGTCTTTATCATAATTCATCACTTTAGAAGTTGAAACCGAGAAATTTAGAAAACCACATTTCTTTACCAACTTATTAAAGTTAATGATACAAATATTACAAAGAAAAATAAGTAACTTTGTTTATTTTAAGGACTATCTTCCCCAATTTTCACTTAGGTCAGAAAAAAATTAAAATTAGTAGGAAGAGTGGCACATGGCTGAGCCATTCCTTCACTGTATGGTTTAGAAGTAGGTAGTAGGTAGGTTCTCCTACATGTATGATTCTGTCTCAATCAGGCACATCACGGGTGGTTGAAATTTACAAGGGAAACTGAAGAATGTTTGCATTTACTCAGGTATGTGATTGGAAAGAGGAGTAAAATTTAGCAATCTTTAGAATTGTGGCTTTTCTTCCTTTGGTACTAAACTCAGTTAGTACCATGCCTTCCTGTCTTAAAGGGAAGTTGGGTTATGGGAATTGAAGACACACCAATGATTCTTGGATCCCGTGGTACTTACGGATTCATCAGCTGCTCCCCTATTGTGAGTGAGTATTCTATTTAATCATGACTTTGTGATATTGCCCCAGGGTTATTTGGGACTATCAGTTCATGGCATCTTATCACTTCCTGAATGCCCATATCTATACATGCTATCTATATACACGCTTATTAATACCACTAAAGTCTGTGAAGGAGAAATTCTCAATATTATGATGCTGCCAAGCTCTCTCTCTTTCTTTTTAATTTCCAGTTTCCTCTTTGATAATCAATTCTTTCAGTAATACTGGAGCTGATAGGCTCACCTTCTCCATTTTAAATCGAATATTGACCAAGCATATGATTCTGAGTCAATGTAGACATCTATCTTTCAGTCATTCTTCAAATAAAAATAGTGTCCCAAGGCGAAAAAAAGTACATGGTTGCTCCTCCAGCTGTGACAACCACACAAGTATTTTTTCTAGTGAGTGGCAACCCTCTGTGGCTTGTGGTGGGTGAAGTGTTCTCTATATTTTTCCTGTTTCCTCACACCGATGTCAAAGGTGTGAGTTTGTGTGTCTGTAATGTATATACATTACATATATGTATGTAGTCTATGCATACATGATGTGAGTGTGAATATGCAGAGGCCAGAGGAGGATGTTGAATGTTCTCTTTGAGAGCTCTCTGCTTTATTCTCCTAAGATGGAGTTTTTCACTGACTCTGAAGCTATGCTGGAACTGGAAAGTCCCAGCAAACAGTGCTGGGTGGAGCTACTGTCCATTTTCCTGAGACTCACATTCTTTATGCTTCCTGTTAATTGGTTTCTCTTGTGTAAGATAAAAGAG